GGGTGGCAGGGGTCTGGGGAAGAGCTAGGACCCAATGAGAAAACCTTCACTGTCAAGGTGTGGTTATCATTCTGCTCTATTCTCTATTGGTTTTATGTCTAAATAGAAAACTGTGCATTAAAACTGAAAGACCTATACCTGGCCAGTATGGCTGTGCAGGTTGAGCATTGACCCATGAACCGGGAGGTCACGGTTCCATTGCGGGCTCGATCCCCAGGAGGGGACATGCAGGAGGCAGCCGATCACTGATTCTTTCTCATCATTGATGTTTCTATCTCTTTCTCTCTTAAATCAATAAAAATATTTTTAAACTGAAAGATCCGTGTAACCGTTTGGATTACCATTCAGCAAATAAATATGCAATCCCCTCCACCTCCCCCTGTAGGTGGTGTATCTCCCTGCCCTTTGGCTTTCATCTTGACCATGTCTTACTTTAGTCAATGACACATTTGCGAATACAACAAAAGCAGAAGCTTGAAATATGCCAGCATGTTTGTGCTTGCCTTTTTGCATGTCTTTTTTCACCAGGAACATGACTCAGGTGGCCACTGATCCAAGGAGAATATGAGATACTTGAAACAGACCTGGATCAAATCTGCAGCTTGAAGTCAAATCTAGCTGAGCCCATCAAGATCAACACAAGTCCAGCCAGACTGCAGGCACATGAGTGAGAAAAACAAACAGAAAAGTATATGTATATATCTGTGTGCAACTGAGTTTGGGGTAGATTATGCAGCATTATTATCTACACTAATAAAAGAGAAACATGGTAATTAGCGTACGACCGCTACCCTTCCCATTGGCTAATCAGCGTATCCTTATGCAAATTAACTGTCAGCCAAGATGGCGGCCAGCAGCCATGCACTGAAGCGAGCAGGAAGGCTTGCTTCCTCCAGTGATGGCGAACTCCAATGTTCCCCGCCTAACTTGCCGGCCTCTCAGCTGCAACTCTAAGCAACTATTACTATGTTGCAAATAAGAAGCTAAACAAAACCCCAGAAACCGGCTTTCAGTCAGCCCCGGACCGCAACATTGTATCGATGTTTTCAGCAGCGAGGCCTCAGAGCTAAAGCTGGCCCAGAATAAAAAAAAAAAAAGAAAAAAGAAAACAAGGAGCGGTTGGGAGCTTTTAGTCACCTGGCAGCCAGAAAACAGCCCTCAGCCCCTCAGCCAGCCTGGCCAGGCACCCCAGTGGGGACCCCCACCCTAATCCAGGACACCCTTCAGGGCAAACCAGCTGGCCCCTACCCGTGCACCAGGCCTCTATTCTATGTAGTAAAAGGGTAATATGCCTCCCAGCACCGGGATCAGTGGAGCAGCGAGGCTCCCGGCACCGGGATCAGCGTAACAGGGGGCAGCGCCCAAACCCCCGGATCGCCCTTTGGCTGTGTGTGACAGGGTGCAGTGCACCAACCCCCTGATCGGCCCTGCTCTGTGTGTGACAAGGTGCGGCACCCCAACCCCCCCCCCCCCACGGGCCCTGCTTTGTGTGTGAAAGGGTAGAGCCATAACCTCTCCATCGGCCCTGCCCTGAGTGTGAAAGTGGGGGTGCCCCAACCCCCTCATCAGCCCTGCTCTGTGTGTGACAGAGGGTGGTGCCCCATCCCCCCTCCATGGGCCTTGCTCTGTGTGTGACAGGGTAGAGCCATAACCTCCCCATTGGCCCTGCCCTGAGTGTGACAGGGTGCAGCGCCCCAACCCCCTGATTGGCCCTGCTCTGTGTGTGACAGGGAGCGGTGCCCCAACTCCCCTATTGGCCCTACTCTGTGAGTGACAGGGGGAAGCTCCTCAACCCCCTGATCGGCCCTACTCTGTGTGTGACAGGGTACGGAGCCCCAACCCCCCTGATCGGCCCTGCTCTGTGAGTGACAGGGTACAGAGCCCCAACCCCCCTGATCGGCCCTGCTCTGTGAGTGACAGGGGGCAGCACCCCAACCCCCTGATTGGCTCTGCTTTGTGAGTGACAGGGGGCAGTGCCCCAACCCCCTGATCGGCCCTGCTCTGTGCTTGACAGGGGGTGGCGCTGCAACCTCCCCATCGACCCTGCCTTGAGTGTGACAGGGGGCGGTGCCCCAACCCCCCAATCGGCCCTACCCTGAGCGTGACTGAGGGTGGCATCGCAACCTCCCGATCCGCCCTGCTCTGTGCATGATGGGGCGGCGCCCCAACTCCCCAATCGGCCCTGCTCTGAGCCTGACCAGGGGCTGCACTTAGGGATTGGGCCTGCCCTCTGCCACCCAGGAGCAGGCCTAAGCCAGCAGGTCGTTATCTCCCGAGGGGTCCCAGACTGCGAGAGGGCACAGGCCGGACTGGGGGACTCCCCCGCTCCCCCCCGAGTGCACAAATTTTTGTGCACCAGGCCTCTAGTAAAAACAATAAAACAAACTATATCTCCAAAAACTCTGTAAGACATAGTTTCCCTGCGTTTGGATCTTCCTAACAAAGTGGTTATCAGCCAGGGGAGATGTTGCTCCCAGGCGAACATTTGGCAATGTCTAGACACATTTTGGTTTGTCTTACTTTGGGGAGGTGTGTTACTGACATCTGGTAGGCAGAGGCCAGGGATGCTGCTAAGCATACTCCAATGCACAGGATGCCCCCACAACAAAGAATTTATCTGGTCAAAATGTCAGTGTTGCTGAAGTTGAGAAACCTTATCCTATATAATAAAAGGGTAATATGCAAATTGACCCTAACGGTGGAATGACCGAGAATGATAGATCGCTATGATGCGCACTGACCACCAGGGGGCAGACGCTCAATGTAGGAGGTGCCATGATGAGCACTGGCCATTTAAAAATAAACAGCACTGAGGACCTGGTGCCCACAAACTGACACTCAGCTTCCCCCCAAGTGGGACACAGGCCCCGCCACCACCCCAAAACGACATCCCACCAAATCACAGCCAATGCTGCCAAGAGCTCATGGCGCAAAATGCAGCCCACAGCCCAGCCCAGCCAAGAAATGGTTGCTGTGGGTGCCAGGTAATGACATCATGTAGCAACACCCGGCTTCCTCTCCCTAGTGACTAGCTTCCTTGGTGTTTCTTCAGCACAGGAACCCGACTTGCTTTACAGCCAGGTACAAAGATTTTACAGTTTAACCAAATGTTTGTGAAGCATTTTCCCGTGCCTCATCTCATTTGAACCTCACAGAAGTCCTGGAGTAGGTCGATAGGAGACTCGGTGAAATCCTATTTTCTTTCCATTAGCTGGAAAATGGAGATTTAGAAAGCTTAGAAATTTGACCTAACTGAAAAGAAGTAAGAAATGGTGGAACTTGAAAATGACTTCAGGTTTTCTCACTATGCAGAATATAGTCAAACACTGCTGCAGTTAAATATTTTACCCTTTGTTCTCCCTGCATGATCTACAGTAATAATCTGCTTTGTGTTGATATTTACTGCTGTGTTGCTGACAATTACCTGAAAGAGAAGTTGGGGTGCTTCACTGGGCTGGGAAAAGTTTAGCTAAATCAGAAAACAAGTTTATCAATCTATAATAATAAAAGCATAATATGCTAATTAGACCAGACATCCTTCCAGACAACCCTCTGCAGGAAGCCGGGGCTGTGAGGGAAGCCCAGGTCCTAGGTGCCAGAGGGAAGCCGGTGCCGGCAGCCAGGGGAAGGAAGGCCTACTCTTGCATGAATTTCGTGCATCGGGCCTCTAGTATATATATAAAAAGCTAAGTTGACTTGCGCATGTGCGATACATATAAAGTTCTCATTGGCGCCAATCACACGCATGTATTTCCATCTGTCATGTCGATCATGGATTTGGTTGACACTTCTATTATAGAGAAAGGGCAAATAGCAATATTAAAATATTTCTTCTAATTAATTTCCTTTCAATGTGCACGAATCCATGCACGGGGCACTAGTCCCAATATAATACAATACAAAGAAGGAAGACCTATTCTTTCCCATTTTGCTGCATATCTCTGCTCACCCATGAAGATGCTTGTGCATTTGTGGCAACATGGATTGGCTGATTAGTTATCTCAATACATATTTATTGAGTGCTGCCACCATTCTAAGTGCCAAGGACCCAGTTATAAATTAAAAGAAAAATTTCCCGCCTGGCCAGTGTTGCCCAATGGTTATCAACCTATGAACAAGGAGGTCACAGTTCCATTCCTGGTCAGGGCACATGCCCGGGTTGCAGGCTCAATCCCCAGTAGGAAACGTGCAGGAAGCAGCCAATCAGTGATTTTTTTCTCATCATCAATGTTTCTCCCTTCTCCCTTCCTCTCTCTGAAATCAATAAAAACATATTTTAAAAAAATAACCCCAGAGAGTAACTTAGTGAGCAGGTAGGTACAGGTGAGAGCAGAACTGGAATTACATTTGTTACTATATGTAGTCAGTATCCACAAACAAGTGATTAATCCTAATGAAATGTAGGGAAACATTTGTAACCAGAGAAAGAAAGCTGTTCAGCACTTTCGTTTTTCTTACTCAAAATCCCATTCTTGGAAGGCTGCCTCTCCAGGCTCCTGGCAGGCGCATGTTGGGAAGAGACCAGGTTAGAATGAAGCACTGCCTCCTGTTACTTCCAGCAATAATCCCACCACCTCTGGCCACACTTCCTCCTCCGCTGTTCCGGGGTGTGGGAAGAGCTGGGGGCATTTAGGATCTCCGGAGCAGAAGGGTCTCCCTGAGGTCCGTACGACATGTTTGTTATGTGCCGTGTCTCTAGATCTGGCTTCTTGGCCATCTGTATTTTTTATTTGTTTGGAAACCAGTGTTGTCCGACAGACGTAAGTAGGTCATTCCTGAATTGTAACTGCTTTTCAATAATCTGTAAGACTCCTAGGGACAAGAATTGTGCCCCTTTTGTTCATAACTGCATCTTCCCCTCCTCGCATGGGTGTCTGGCACACAGTAAGCACTCAACATATATTAGGTGGATAAATAATGCATCATGAAAATGAAGTCTCACAAGCTTATAAAAATTAAACAGATGACACAAAGCAAAATAAAGTAGCTGGACACATCTGTTTTTTTAAACAAAGTTCTGTATTTAGAGACATATACTTCCCAGAGAAAAATAACGGGTAACAGTCATTCTTCCAGCCAGCTCATTTTTTTGAGCCTCTTCCTTGTGCCATGCACTGTGCTGGCTGGAGACAGGAACAAAGAAAACAATATCCCTTCTGGAAAGCGAGGCCCAGAGCACAGAGTGAAGAGAGAAAGAGCATGGCTTATCTGTGTGTAGAGGAAGAGAGGGTCAAGGAAACCCAGGAATGCTTCCTAGAATTGCTGAATCTAAGGTGGCTTTAAAAAAAAAAAATCCCAATATCTCCAAACGAAACATTTAGAGTTCAAACCCCACACCCAACTACTTTGATCTAGACTGATGATTCTCAGTTGGGCAGAATTTTGCCTCCCAGGGGACATCCGTCAATGACTGTCATGACGGCGTGTGCCACTGGAATCTATTACGTAGAGAACTCAGATGTTGCCGAACATCCTCTAAGGCACAGAAGAGGCCCCCACAACCAAGTCTCCAACCCAAATATTAACAGGCCAAGATGGAGAATCCCTGATTGAGAATGAGAGAATTAGCAAGTACCATGCAAATAAAACACAAATACATCATTTAGTCAAAGTTTCTCTAATGCAATTAATGTGACAACAGAAATCATTTAATTAGCTGCTTCAAATGTAAGTCAATTAGGTACAAATAATAAATCAATTAGTTTTTTGTGATAAATCTGAGTACTCAAATCTCATGATATATACAATTCAAATATTTATATTAATCTGTCATATGACTAGCATTGCTTGATTAGAATTAGAACATGGCTCGATTAGAATCCCAAAATTAAGAATGTTATACTTAAAAAAGAAATCGTGGGTTCTTTTATAGCTTTCGGCTTCTAAGATGGAAAAGGCCTAGCCAATTCCTTCTGAGTTTAAAATTACATTACACAGTCATATGTTCAGCATCTTTTAGCTGGCTACATTTGCTCCCTATGGGAAGTTTATGTCTTGTAAAAGGAGTTTCATGCAGAATACAAATCGGGGGTATTACATGAATATCTCTTGAGGACACTGAGTTGTGCAAACAGCATCACTTTATCTGACGTAGTAGCTTTGGATTGGTCTGCCAGTTCACCCTGGAGTTGTCTGGAATTACAGATCAGGGACAAGGCTGTCATACCCCAGCTGCTGCAGAAAGCTACTGGAAGAAAGGGAGATTTATGAGTGTTTTGGTTATACTGAACCAAGCATACAGGAGCTATGCAACAGGGAGCCTGGTGGCTCTAAATTGTAGGCATTATGCAAAAGGATAATGCAGGCGTGGGTGTCGAGGGAGTCCTCCCGGAGCAATAGGACATCTTTACAAACTCTCTAAAGAATAAAGTTAACAGTTATTAAAGAACACCACCCTGCTGTTGCTAGCGCTGAACTTTCTATCACAGGAAGAGATGCAGGGGATTTTCAAGAAAACATCTGTCATTTAACAGTGACAGTGACCTCAGTGCTGACAAGCAATTCAAATCCCAGTTGAGGGGAGTTCTGTGAGTTCTGTAACTCTTTGTCGAGGCTGAGCTTGGAGCTCCAAGATGAGCAGGTTATTAATATCCTCGTCAGTTGAGGATCGCCAACGCCAAAGGAAAAAGTTATTGGGAATAACTATAATTGGTTCTGTGAGGTGAGACATTTTTTATTTATTTCCTTATGATTATCAAGTCGTGATTTTGTTCATTTTGACCAAAGTCCTGGGAAAACTTTATAGAGCAATGAGTAGCTGTAAGGTAATCTACAAAACAAGTTATGAAAGATCAAAAATAGGTTAAAATGAATTTGGAAAAAAAAACCTAAATTTTCTGTGTTAATTTCACATAAGGACTTCCCAAGACAATACATCCTTTTCTCTTTTATTGCTAATCAAAAATAAATAAATTAGCTGTGATATTCAGGTAACAGTAGGAAAACTAAAACAAATTCTGAGAGCCAAGTAAGCATTCAGGACAGTGCTAGGCGTTTACACAGACTCATTTAATTTTTGTAGCAGTGTGCAAGGACAGTAACATGATCTTCATTTTGTAGATGAAAAAACAGGCTTTTCTTCATTTAAACGTTTTTCCCAAGAGGGACAAAACTAGAAAATGCTACATCTGGGATAGGGATAGGGAACAGCAGGGCAGCAAGATCTGCTGCCACAAGGAATTACATTTTTATTTGTGTCAGACACACGAATATTCAAATTCATCACTTGAAAGAGAAAGCATTAATACTGTGAGTTGATCGTCAGCTCCCCTGAGCTCCATGCCCACGTGTCCCTTTCCTGACTGGCTATCACCATCTCACTGTCCCACAGGCAATACCATTTCCACATGCCGAGAGATGCACCACCTTCACCAAAACTGGCTCCACTGCTGTTTCTCCTACTCAAGGATCAGTGCCAGCACCCACCTGGCTGCAAAGAAATGTGGTCTGGGAGGAAATCCACAGTAACTGTTAGCAGTGCTAGTATCTGGTGGTGGGATTCTAGGTGTTTTTAATTTCATTCCTTATCCTATATTTTCCAGATCCTTTTAAAATATTTATAAGCATGATGTATGATTATATCCTTATTGTTTAAAGACAAAAATCAGAAAGATTAAAAAGTCACCATTTTCCCAAGGCTATTTCCCTCCTCACTTGTAAACACTGTCTTTCAGACTTTTTATTTTGTACTAGTGGCCTGGTGCATGGATTCGTGCATATTGAAAGGAATTAGAAAGTGGCTGGCAAAGCAGGACTGGGCAAGATGGGCTGGACACACCCTGGAGCCAACCTCCCGCGGTCCCTCCCTGACCGGCCACACCTGGATGGCACCAGGGCTCAAAGGGAATCTGCGGAGTGAACAGGGTCCCTCCAGCAGGTGGGGTCCCTCAGCCTGGCCTGCGGGGATAGGGCCAAAACTGGCAGTCCGACATCCCCCGAGGGTTCCCGGAGTGCAAGAGGGCACTCTGCAAAGTTGCTGTCACTCAGCAGCTCCTGCATTGAGCATCTGCCCCCTGGTGGTCAGTGCACATCATACCTACCAACCGCTTAGCTTTTTATATATACTAATAAACATAAGTATATGGGGTGGGCAAAGTAGGTTTACAATTGTAATACAAACAAATAATACAATAATACTACAAGAATAGTGTTTTGCATATTCATAACTGTAAAGCTACTCTGCATTTATCGTATGCATTTCTATACAAATAGTTTGGAATTTATTTAGTTACATATACATATATAATTTTCCTAAGTAAAACTTTAAAACGTACATTCTACTGTAAGTAGCCTTTTTCCTTTTCACAATATATCTTAGGATATTTTCATGTCAAAGCATAAAGATCTCTCATTCTCCCTAATAGCTACAGCAGTGATGGCGAACCTTTGACACACATGTCAGAGGTGACATGCGAACTCATTTTTTTGGTTGATTTTTCTTTGTTAAATGGAATTTAAATATATAAAATAAATATCAAAAATATAAGTCTTTTACTGTGGTTGCAAATATCAAAAAATTTCTATATGTGACACGGCACCAGAGTTAAGTTAGGGTTTTTCAAAATGCTGACACGCCGAGCTCAAAAGGTTCACCATCACTGGGCTAGAGTATTCAATTGTTATGACTATACATAATTTATTCCCCTTATGGCTGAATATTTAGGCTGATTCCAATTTCTCATTATTACAAATAATGCTGGGAAGACCATTCTTATAGATGCACCCTGTCTCAGCAATTCGTAGACACTTCACGCCTGCCCCCACATTTTACTACCTTTGGGTTGGAAAGCATCTTACAATTGATGGCACCTTACCATTGCTGTTGGCCACGGGGTATTCGTTGCGTAAAAATCGTTTTTTGACTTCTGGTAATAGTAAAAAAGCATTAGTCTCAATACATTTTAGATTAGATGAAATGAAGTATCTTTGCATTCATGTGTATTTCAGGCATTTGTGATTTCAGGCAAATGAATAGTTGTTTATAGGAGAGATCAGATAGTATGTGCATTTTAAATTTTGCTACTTACTTCCAAATTGCCCTCCAAATAAGATGAAACCATTTGTTCAGCCATTCACCATCTGGTAGAGGGCCTATTTTCCTCACCAACAGTGGCTATTATAAATCTCTGAATATTTATCAATGTAATAATTGATATGCTGAAGTTCTTTATTAACTTAATCTTTTGTGTCATATATACGTACTGCAAATGTCTCCTCCCCTCTCAACTTTGCTCAGGGTCTTTCACCCTGCAGTCGTTTTATGTTCCAAATGTGTCGCTATTTTTCCTTAGGTCTCATTTTGGGGGTTTATATCTTTTTAAAAATACATTTTTATTGACTTCAGAGAGGGAGAGGGAGATATAAACAGCAATGATGAGAGAGAATCACTGATCCCCTGCCTCCTGTGCGCCCCCTACCAGGAACCGAGCCCATAACCCGGGCATGTGCCCTGACCGGGAATCAAACTGTGACCTCCTGGTTCATAGGTTGATGTTCCACCACTGAGCCACGCCTTGGGTTTATATCTTGCTTAGGAAAACCTGCACCCCAACATTATGATTTTCCTACATTTTAGCACTTATGTACTTTGGTCTTTTTAACCGTTCTCTTTAATCCACTTGAAATGTATCTTTGTGTATAGTGTGACATGGGCAGGTACCCCCAGTGTGGCTATTCTGTCTCCAATTCATTCACAGGCTACTTCTTTACCCATCATTTAAAACTGTATCTTTATCATATACCATATATCTACATATTATTATTCATTTCCTTTGTTTCATTGATTTTTTGATACAGTATTTCTAGTAAGAAACATAGTCAAATTTTCCTCATTGTTCTTTTTAGTTTTTCTTGGTTACTTTGCATATGAATTTCTGAGTCACTTGAATGGCATATGTGGCTAATAGTACCCTAATATCCATTTCCCCCTTTCCTTTAATCCAGTGGTTCTCAACCTTCTGGCCCTTTAAAACAGTTCCTCATGTTGTGACCCCCAACCATAAAATTATTTTCGTTGCTACTTCATAACTGTAATTTTGCTACTGTTATGAATCGTAAATATGATATACAGGATGGTCTTAGGCGACCCCTGTGAAAGGGTCGTTCGACCGCCAAAGGGGTCTCGACCCACAGGTTGAGTGTTGGGGGCCAGATGTAAGCTGGCAAGGTCCTTGCACCTGTAGGGGCTAGCAAGGCTGGGATTCTTACCCACACAGTTTTCCCAGACTTGTTTGGATGGCGTTTATCAGTAGAATAAGAGCAATATTTGTAGAATGAGATCAGCCTTTCATAGCTTACCAAGAAGTCTGTAACTTTTTACTGAGATATGCTGTACTGAGAACTTGTCCTTCTGCTGTGTCTCTCCCTTAGAGATTAAGAGGAACAAAGAATACATTCCTCTGGACAGACCTCCTATTCAGTGTGTTGTGTATAAATAGTATTGTGCGGCTAATAAAGTTGCTTCAGTTCATCAAGAGAACTGGGGTCCTCCCGATCCCGCTTTCCTGTCTTTCTTTCTTTTCTCAATTCCCACCTCCCTGCCTCAGCCCGGTTCAACCCTGTCAGGCTGGCCCTGACAGATCTGGCGCCCAAAGGACCCCTGCTTTTTAGCTGGAAACACGGGCAGAGAATAAATACAAATCCCAGCCTTCTTGGCAGAACAGAAGTGTTCATGTTTTAAGCAATGGGATTAACATAGATACGTAGGTACAATTTCGGACAACTGTTCTCAAAGTTAAGGTGTGTGACCGTTATTCTCTTCCTGTCCATTGACCAGAAGAAACAGGCTCACTGGAGATCAAAGGTTTGGAAGCCAGGAGCATCTGTTTCTGATACCTAGAAGGGCACCACCAACCCTAGATTGCCCTCCTGAATTTTTATGAGACACTTCAATCTTATGTAAGCTACTGTTAGTTTTAACTTGCTCTCACAGCCAACATTAATTCTAAGTAACAAAATCCCATTGGAATTGGAATTTATAAATTCATTTTAAGGTAATTGATGTCTGGACAAAACAGTTTTTATAAACAGGAACACAGGATATTTTAGCTATTTATTCAGGCGTTTTATAACCTTCATTAAAATGTAGGGGTTTTTTTTCCATAGGGATTTGTGCTTTCCCCACTCACTCTTAAGAGAGCATATAGTTCTTCACGCAACAAATACCCCGTGGCCAACAGCAATGGTAAG